CTCGAACTCTCTTTTTGGTTGGAGAGAGCTGTGGCGTTTCCCTACTGCCCCGTCGCCATCTTGGTCCCCCCACCCGCAAGTGGTTTTAAATGTGGAGAGGGAGGCAATCAACTCAGTGTTCAAGTGATGTAATGGGAGAAAGGAGCACAGGCATCCTAATGCTTGATTTTACCACTATGGTTTTTTTTGTTGATGACAATACGTTTGTGTTGTTTAAAATACCAGGTGTCTTAATCCATTTCCCATTGCTGTACAAAAACACTTGAGGCAGAATAGTTAAGAAAGAAAAGAGGTTTGGTCAGGTGCTGGGGGCTCACACCTGTAATCCTAGCTACTCAGGAGGCTGAGATCTGAGGATCACGGTTTGAAGCCAGGTAGGGCAGAAAAGTCCCCATGAGAGTCTCATTTCCAATTAACTAGTCAAAAGCCAGTGGAAGAGCTGTGGCTCAGAGTGGTAGAGTGTTACCCTTGAGCAAAGGCACTCAGGGACAGCACCCAGGCCCTGAGTTCAAGCCCCAAGACTGATTTTTTAAAAAAGGTGGGTGGAGGTTGTGTAGCTCACAGTTCTGGAGGTAGAACAGGTCCAAACAGCATAGATAGTTCTGGCTCTGGAAAAGTCCCCTGACTGTATCCCATCATGATAAATGGTATGGCTGGAGTGTCAGAGTATGAGAGATCACTGGAGGAATGGGAGTGGCCCATTTGTAACAACCTCTTTCTAGTACTAACAATGAAAGAATCAGAATAATCTCTTCTAAGAGCACATTCCCAAACCTAGTAACCTTCCAGCAATGCTGTCCTGACTCAAAAGCACAATTGCAAGAGGTAGTACATGGAAGTATCAGAGCCCTGGATGCAGCCTCAGACTAGCTATCAGCTCTAGATCTGCTAGCTCACAACCATTAAATCAGTTGATAGAGGGAAAAATGGAAGGATAAATGGGAGAAATGATGGGTGGGTGGATGGATGGATGGTTGGGTAGATGGGTGGGTGGTGTTTATTTTTCTTATTTGTTAACTCCCAAAAGGAAGGGAAACATTTGGATGGATGGATGGATGGATGGATGGATGGGTATATGGGTGGGTGGGTGAGTGGAAGCATGGATAGATGGATGGATGGGTGAATGGATGGACAGAAGGATGGATGGAGACATTTCCTATCACCAAGCACATAAGGAGCTTGCAGGAGCTTTCAGCCAGGTGTCCACCGGGTGCCAGTGTTGCCTTGTCTACCATGGTGTCACTCCTGCCTAGAAGTGGGACGGCTTTATTAGGCACAGTCTATTTTTAACACTGACTTTGCCCCACTGCCAGAGCACTCTCCTCCCAGTGTATTAGCCAGAGGTGACTCAGAGCTGCACCAGCCAAGTGTTTTCCTCTCTGCTACCAGTACCTAAACCACTACAGGCCGCACTCCCTGCTAGGCAGTGTATAAAGCCTCCCTTTCTCTAACAAGACCCCCCAGTAAATCCCACAACCGTGTGTTAGTAATAAGAACAGTTGTTTAGACAGTCTCTGTGTGCTGGACCGTGTGCAGAGAGACATCATAAGCATAATCTCTTCGGCTCCTGGATACACCTCTAAGTTAGTGGCCTCCTGTGCAGGTGAAGAAGCAGAGGTCACTTTAGGCCACAGAGTTATTATGGAGGCAGAGGCAAAATGTGACCCCAGGTGTCTGTCAGCAGACCCTGGCCCAACACACAGCATTGTTCTGTCCCTAATGGGCAGCTAGCACACCGGTGATGGGGAGTCTGAGGGGTGAGTTTAGGACCCACCCCTCCAGGAGCTGGGAGGGAAGGCAGCAAGAATTATGATATGGTGTAGATTCTCCCCATCCCTTTACCCCAGATGGGAGAGCTCGCTCTGACCCAGGCTGTGGTCTAGGTGACCAGAGTGGCTTTAGAGACTTTCAAGTCACACTGGCTAGAGTCACACTGTTTCTAGAGATTCACTGAGATTTGCTGACCAAAGACCAACAGTTTTCCATGACCAGCAGGAATGCCTCTGACTCATCTTCTCAAGGACACCTTTGTGGCAGTAGCTGGTAAGCTCAGCAGCGTGATGTCAGAGGTTTAGAAAGGCTGTCCCAGCCAGGCCAGTCAATCCAGCACATGCAGGTGAAAAACAATCTGACTGACAAGGACAGCACACATGCTTAGTGTGATTCACCGTTCAGTCCCCAAGGGGCTCCTCACCTCTCCCCCAGGCTGCATGGCAAAAGAACCAGCTCTGTCACTCAGTCTCTTAGGGTCTGCTTCCCCCAACCCTGTGAGCTCTTTGAAGAAAGGTGTTCTTAGCTACTGGTTTGTTAACCTAGTACTTGGGTCAGAATCTGTAACTATGGAAGAATTAGGTCAACATGTTTTATTGTTGTTGTTGTTGCTGCTTATGTGCTGGTTCTGGGGCTTGAACTCAGCACCTGGACACTATCCCTGAGTTCTTTTGCTCGAGGCTAGCACTCTACCACTTTGAGCCACAGCATCACTTTCCAGCTTTCTGAGTGGTGTATTGGAGATAAGAGTCTCACTGACTTTCCTGTGTAACCATGATGCTCAGATCTCAGCCTCCTGAGTAGCTCGAATTATAAGCCTGAGCCACCAGGGCCTGGCATCAATAATTTTAGTAAAATCTTTTCTATTAAATCCCCTATAAGAAGCATTCCTACTGAGGCCCTTCTCCTCGATCCAGTTATCTCCACCCTCAGCTTGACTGCTCCCCAGCACTTGTTTGCAACACCATAGATTATGTGCTTTGCTAAGTCAGAAACAGCAGCAACCAGGCCTCTTGAATTGTTCATCTGTAATATGAGGATGATACTGACATCTACCTCCTGGGGTGTTCTCTGTAAATGCTGTCTGGGAATCTCATTTCCTGATCTTTAGACTCCGGTCTCCATCACGCATTACAAACCCTCATTTTCTGCCTGCAGTGTGTAGCTGTGTGCACGGCGTGTGTAGCAATGGGCCTGGAGGTGATGGGACCTGCGCGTGCTACTCTGCTTACACGGGCCCCAGCTGTGACACACGTAAGTCCTGTGCGCTTCCTCAGCAGACAACGCAGGTGTGACATCTGTTCTCACTTCCATTATTGGGGCTCTGCAGAGGTGAGGTGAAGGGGGTGAAATTCCATCCAATGTCTGGGAGGAAAGAAATCATCATTTTTTAAGAGGATGGAAAGGGTAAGAAGGAAGGACAAAAGGAAAGATGGGAGGAAGTGGTGGTAGTGGGGCACAGAGGTAGCTATGCTTCAAGAAGGTTGAGCAGGGAGAGTGGGGGAGATGGAGGAGAGCTAGACATGGGGGCTAGGCAGACAAGAGGGACCCTTGCTACAAGTTAGTCACCTACACAGGATGTACAGCACTGTCGCCATACCTGTGGCAAAAGCAAGACACGTTAATGGTGTCAGGGGAGAGGGGAGAGGAAAAATCACAAAACTAGCAAGTAAGAATGGGATTCCAAGCATCTGAATCCATAGAAAATTCGCAAAGTAATCTACAATGCTGGACCCAATTAAGAGATAGAAAACACAATGGTTTACAAAAGGAAAGTTTATCGTGAAGATTAGTACATTATGCTAGAAGAGTACTTGTAGAAAAAAATGCTATTTGTGGAGCACAAGGACTGCAAAAAGGTGGTAACCCCCCATGGGTAGATTCAAGCCTTGCTGAAGAAATATGGTGGTGCCCCCCCTCAAAAAAAAAGTTGACTTTTTTTTCATAGGCCACTATCAGGCCACAGTCACTTGGTAAGCCCAGAACACCCTTTGCAACATGGTTGAGCCAAGCTGGTGGATAAAGACAGAGGAAGTCAGAGGGCAGGGTAGAACTGGACAGCACTCAGTGTCTGGGGGTAGGGAGAACTTGCACTTTGCATTCTGCAAGGCATCACCAGATCCAGGGTGGACAATCCAAGGTCACTAAAGGACAGCGCTGATGCTCAGCCTGGACATGGCTTCCCTGAAGCCATGGCCGCAGCAGCAAACATCAGAAGAAGCACACCCTGCACCCAGTTCCAAAAGCAAGCTTCCTGCTTCCTGCTCTGTCCGCTAGCACCCTCTACTGACAAATTTCAGCATCTCTCAGGAAAGGAAAAGCCCTCTCAGGAATTAGGAAACTCGTTGGCTGAGAAGGATGCATTGGATGTTAATTCCTCCTCCCCCTCCCCCTCCCCCTCCCCCTCCTCCTCCTCCTCCATCACAGGGCTTGAACTCTTGGCCTGGATGCTGTCCCTGAGCTCTATTGCTCAAGGCTAGCACCCTACCACTTTAAGCCACAGTACCATTTCTGGTTTTCTGGTGGAGATAAGAGACTCACTGACTTTTCTGCCTGGGCTGACTTCAAATCATAATCTTTAGGTTTAGCCTCTTGAGTAGCTAGGGTTACAAGCATGAGCCACCAGCACCTGGCTGGGTGTGTATTTTTAAAAAATCACATCTTAGCTGGCTGGCATTGATGAGTAGTGACACATGACATACATCCGGGTCTCACTGACTTGCTGCATGCAGAAAATGGTCCCAATACAACCATCCACAGCCAAAGAGTCACCAGGCACCATGTGGGAGAAGTTAAGGACACACAATCCAATCTCCAGGAGTGAACCCAGCTTGCAGGAATGACTGCCCCATGCCTGAATCCCAGTCACATCTCCACATCCAAGGACCCTCAGGGCAGTGGCTGCTTCTTGAAGCTGCCTCTCTTCCTCTCACGAGCGTGCTTTATGTTCATTCTGCTTAAGTTCCCTTTAGGTACATCCTTGATTCTTTCTCAGCTAAGACCAAAAATCTTCTCAACTTGGTAACCACACCAGTATGAGAGAGAAGGTTGTACGTGGTGTCTTTGGAGCCTGAGATGTAAACACATTGGCTATGCAGCCTGTGACACTAACTTCACTTATCTGAGTGTTAGTCTTCAACAAAATAAAAAGTTGCCAGATATCAGTAGCACATGTTTGTGATCCAATCTGCTCAGGAGGCTGAAATCTGAAGCTAGCCCTAGCAGGAAAGTCTCTGAGACTCTTATCTCTAATTAACCATCAAAAAGCTAGCGGTAGAGGTATGATTCAAGTGGTAGAGCTCTAGCCTTGAGTGAAAAAAGCCAAGCAGGAGCACAAATCCCCAATTTGAAGCCCTAGTTATAGGCATTAAAAAAGAACAAAGTGTGCCAGGCACCAGTGGCTCACGCCCATAATTCTAGCTACTCAGGAGGCTGAGATCTGAGGATCACAGTTCAAAGCCAGCTTGGGCAGGAAAGTCTGGGAGACTTTATCTCCAGTGAACCACCAGAAAACCAGAAGTGGTGCTGTGGCTCAAGTGGTAGAGCATTTGCCTTGAGCTGAAGAACTGAGGGACTACACACAGGCCCAGAGTTCAAGCCCCATGACCAAAAGCAAAAAAAAAAAAAAAAAACGAAGTGATGTGAGGTTGAAATTCAACAATGTAAAGTCATTTTCTTAAAAGCTCATATCGTGCTATAAGCAGTAAGATAGCTAAAATAGCCACTGCCTTACTAGGCACCACTGGCTCACCCCTGTAATCCTAGCTACTCAGGAGGCTGAGATCTGAGGATCACGGTTCAAAGCCAGCCAGAGCAGAAAAGTCCCCATGAGACTCTATCTTCAAATAACCACTCATAAACTAGAAATGGCTCAAGTGGTTGAGTGCCAGCTTTGAGCATAAAGAGACTCAGGAACAATGCCCCCACAAACAACAAAAAATTTAAAAAAAAACAACCACTGCCTTCTCCTCCTGCACAGGAAGCAAATCACCCCAGCCTCAGGTTTGTGGGACACTTCTGTGCCCTCAGCTGGCTTTCTTCCCAGCCCCTCCCACAGCCCAGTGGACTCAGGGACGAGGCCTTCTCAGTATGACAGGGTCTCAGTCTCAAAGCCAGCCCAATGGAGAACACTGTCAGATTGCTTTCCAAGTGGGAAAATATTTTTGTCAAGTCAAAATATGAACAAGAGACTGGAACAAAAATATTTACAACTCGCATGGCAGATAAAGTTTTATAATAATATAAGGGCCATGACCCAACTTTAAAAATAGACCTAGGATCAAATGATACTCACAACAAGAAAAATAGAAACCAGGAATAAAATGAAGAGGGTAACAGAGCCACACACAATCAAGCATAAAAAAACACAGCCATATTGGGACTGGACGAGAGTATAGGAGGTTCTATTCTGGTTTGATGTTGATGTTGCTGCCATTATGTTAAACAGATTGAAAAGATAATAACTATCCATGGGTAGCAGAGAAACAGCAATGGGGATTCAGATTGTTATAACCTACAAGGGGAGGGCAGTTATCTAGCAAATTTTAAGGCATGTTTCTGATATGTCTATAATCCTTGCTACTCAGGAGGCTGAGATCTGAAGATCACAGTTCGAAGCCAGCCCTGGCAGCCAGATCTGAGTGACTCTTAGCTCCAACTAGCCAGCAAAAGTTGAAAGAGAGAGTATGGTTCAGGTGGTAGAATGCCAACCTTGAGTGGAAAAATCAAGTAGGAATGCAAAGCCTTGAGTTCAAGCTCCAGTATGGGAACTAAAACAATAACAAAAAACTTTTTTTAAAAAAACAAGATTCTATTTTGTTTTATTTAGTTGGGGAAAATCATAATAAGTTTATAAATAGATGGATTCTATTGGTTGTTGATATGATTTAGAGAGTGGAGGAGAGAGAATTGAAACAATCTGTTTCAATTTTGTATACTTTGTATTTTCTTTTTTCTGCTTGGTTTTTTATGCAATTTTTATTGTAAAAATACTGTACAGTAGGGTTACAGTTACATGAGTAAGGTAATGAGTACATTTC